CCCCCTTCACTTCTTTCAAGGTTGTGCTCAGTTGGCTCCATCTCAGTGAGGCCTTTGATCTCCTGATACCCTTCACTCCCCGACATTCCTCACTGCCCTTGTCCTGCTTTATCCACAGAACTGGTCACAGTCTGACATTCTGTTTCCATGCTTGTTTAGTCAATCTCCCTTCAGTGAAATGGAAGCACCATGACGGGGCTTTATCAGTTTTCTTCTAGGGCACATCCCTAGTGCCTAAAACAGCTCCCAACACATATTAGACTGTTAACATAATTACATGTTGAATAAATGAATGAAAAAATCATACAATTTTTTCACTTAGAAGGAACTTTTTAGATCATCAACTAACCTTATGTTAGAAACTGGGAAACTGAGGCACAGAAAGGCTATATAGCTATTCAGAATGAAACTGAATCAAATGATGCAACTGACAAGGGCTCAATTTCCTGAATATACAAACAGCTCATACAACTCAATAACAACAACAACAACAACAACAACAACAACAAAACCCAATCAAAAAATGGGCAGAAGATCTAAGTAGACATTTCTCCAAAGAAGGCATACAGATGACCACAGGCACATGATGACATGCTCAATATCACTAATTATCAGAGAAACACAAATCCCGACTACAGTGAAGTATCACCTCACACCTATCTGAATGGCCATCATTAGAAAGTCTACAGATAATAAATGCTGGAGAGAGTGTGGAGAAAAGAGAACTTTCCTACACTGTTGATGGGAATGTAAATTGGTGCAGCCACTATGGAGGATAGTATGGAGGTTCCTTAAAAAACTAAAAATGGAATTACCATATGATCCAGCAATCCTACTCCTGGGCATATACCCAGAAAAGACACATGCACCCCAATGTTCACAACAGCACTATTTACAATAGCCAAGACATGGAAACAACCTAAATGTCCATCAACACATGACTGGATATACAATGGAATACTATCCAGCCATAAAAAAGAATGAAAGAATGTAATTTGCAGCAACATGAATGGACCTAGAAGTTATCATACTAAGTGAAGTAAGTCAGACAGAAAGACAAATATCATATATCACTTATATGTGGAATCTAAAATAAAATGGTACAAATGAACTTATTTACAAGTAAGTAAGAGACTCAGAGACACAGAAAAGAAACTTACGGTTACCAAAGAGGAGGAAGGAGAAATTTGGCATTAGCAGATACAAACTACTATATGTAAAATAGATAGACAACAAAGTCCTAATGTATAAGACAGTGCACTACATTCAATATCTTATATAGCCTATAATGAAAAAGATTATATACGTATAACTATATAACTGAAGCCATAGTTTGTGGACCCGTGCTCTAAGGTTCTCTCAGGAGCAACTAACACATCAAGAGAAAAGACAAAAATCAGCATGGTAACTGAATGTATTCTTGTAGGATAGACAACAACCTCCAGCCCTTTTCTTCTCAAGGAGTGCCTACCCACTGTTATCTGGCAGACTGCCCCTCGCCCTTCAGACTACATCGATGTCACTTCCTCCCGGAAGGCACCCCTGGCTCCCTGGTCTGGTGCACAGCCCTTTCTGATGGCTCCCATGGCTCCCTGTACTGCCCGCATCATGACACAGGTAGCCACCCTCGTACAGTTGCCTGGTTGCCGTCTGCGTCTCTCACCAGGCTCTGAGCCCCAGCTGGGCAGTGCACATGCCACTGCACCATCATGTGCCCAGCATGTGGCAGAGGTCAGCTCTGTAGCTCATTAATAAGCAAAGGAAGAAGGTGGGTATACTGGTTAAGACAGAGGCTCCAGGACTAGTCAGACCTGGGTTCAGGTGACAGCTCTGTAGTCTACAAGCATCTGACCCTGGAGAAGTTCTAAGTCTTTCTGTGCCTCAGCTTCCTCTTCTGTACTTTGGGGCAACAGCAGTACCTACTTGAGGGGTTGTCACTACGACTACATGAGCCCCTGGCTATAAAGCGCTTGGCACCTACGACGTATCTAGCAACCCTATACTTCAGCTCCTGCTGTTATTACCACTGTGACCATTCCTGCTACAGCTTCTGTGACTGCTGCGACAGGGAGCAGTATGGTAGCATTGTGGAATCAGACTGCCTGGGTTTCAGTTCCAGTTCCATTTACTAGCTGTGTGGTCCTGAGCAGGTTTCTTACCCTCTCTGCGTCTCAGTTTCCTCTTGAAAAAAATGTGGATATCAGTTGCACCTAACTCAATGGGATGTTTTGGCAACTAAATGAGAAAATACATGTAAAGCATTTTAAATAGTGGCCTATTCCTAATAGTGTCAGCAAGTGTAACTATCAATTAGTGAAGTCAGACTTGGGTCCCAACTATTAATTTTACTGTCCTTTTCTATATTCACTCACTCCATGACACAGTTTATAAGCGTTCCCTGTGTGCTAAACATGCAGAGTTGCAACTATGACTTATTCTACGTTGACTCAGAACAATGTAGTTTGATTATAAAAAATTCTGGAGAAGCTTTCTGATGCTCTGCATTGTCTGTGTCAGTCCTGATGGACGGAATGACTTTAAGCAAACCTCAGT